TTCCACATCTTTTTTGCTACTGTAATCCACATTCAAACTATGCTTTACAATGAAATATAGAATGTCTGAATATCACCTTATTGGTATCCTTTACGTATGATTTAATGACTTGTGAAAACACCAGAAAATATTTTTAATATTCCAAAGTAATAGGACAAAACATTCAAAATAAGAATGCAATTCTCAACAGCAGACTGTGTTACAAGCCCCTCCAAGCTACTGTTCACATTTTTTCACTTGGGAAAAATTTTAAAAGTTATCACAATGCCTCTAAGAAGAGCAGATGCTGCTATGCAACTACATGTACCATACCAGCAATGCATATTAAAAGTAAACAGTAATTTTTTTAAAGCTATTTTAATAGATATTAGGATATTTCATTTAAAAAACTAGCTTAATGTAGAACAACAAATAAGCAAGTGTGTACTGCTTTCCAACACACTCATCATTTGATCAGCTCACTTCAGGAAAATCAATCCATGCAGTTTGTCTACAAACCGCATTATGTACTAAGCCACAGTTCAGAGAATTAATGCTTAGAAGGAAAAGGAGAAAACATTCATGCATCAAAGAAAAAGTCATACATTGAGAAATGGCAGTGGAACTTTTCTGTATATTTGAACATCCAATGGCAGCCCTGACACTGTGGCATGCAGCAGGGAGGGAGCAGCCAGGTGAGCATCTAACAGCACATCATACCCAGAGCAGAGATGCATCTTTAGGTGAGGAGCAAATATGCCTGTTTTTCATTACTCCCTTACACCACCTTTTCAATAACTCTTTACACACAGAGTTTGTATGAACATTACCAGTGCAAGACTGTTATTTTAGCTAAGCAAGAAGCAAAATATGGTTTGCTCACACTGCAGGTTTAATACACTTGTTACAGAGACACTGTATTCCCTAATACTGCCCCCAATTTTTTCATTTAAAGGACCCTGCCAGTTTCAAGTATTAGAATCATGGCATCAGTTGTACAATTAATCCCAACCATCCCACCTCCGAGCTGTTTATAAATATGCAAAGTGGGCCAAATGCTTGTCACATTACCAATAATCCAAGGCTCACAGATTTTGAGACTATGAGGAACAACTACAAAATTATCACCTTGCATAGAACAGACAGTAGAAAATCAGTCCTAGACTGGGCCCTCCAACAAATGGGGCTGGAGCTGCATAGGGCAGATCTACGTGTCCTGCCTTACAGCAGGCTCTCTGCTTTACACTCACCTGGGGGGCAAAAGTACAGCTGAGCACTCATAGGATACAAGGACATCTCGAGCATGCAGCACTGTCCATCCCTGGACCTCGGCTAACCTTTCATCTCTGCGGAGACCCTCCTATGCTGGAATCATCTTCAATGCTCATTTTAAGCCTGTTTTAGGGAAATGGTACAAGATGCACAGAGGGCATACCATGAAGACACTGATTCTTATTAATCCATTTTATAAGGAAGAAAATAGAAAATAAGCAAATCTGGGATTTTTATTTCCCAGTTACTCTTCTTACGTGCCACAAACAGAAAATGTTTAATAAATCTGCAGGGAATTTGCCTGACTAGGAATTGAGTAAAGAATGACTTATCCAGAAACATACTGCATGTTTAAGTCTGATGTGACAAGATTCCTAGGACCATGATATAGCACGCTACCTTGCAATAGGAATTAATCCATAAAATTCATTACACTTCTGCTGATGAAGCAGTGGTAACTTTACAGTCTTTTTGCACACAAAAAAAAAAAAAAAAGGCAAAGACTTGAAATGTCATTTAACACAGTTTTTGAACAGCCTATTAAATAGCCTTTGGACTAAAAACATACTTTCAGACCATGAAATTACTAATTTTTTAATAGGGTAAAAAATTTCTCTTGGTTTAAGTAGAAACAAAATAACAAGTTGTCTTTGCTTTAAACAGAAGCACTACTCATGATATTACAACCTGTCTTATTGCAAAAAGCACTTACAGGTGATCTATATCTACCTGATGCACTGCATCTCAGTCACAGGTGATATTTCAGAGTTCACCTTTGAAACACTCCCATACATTAAGAGAGAGCAAGATAGTGAAAACTGTTGAGTTGGGGCACGAGCACAAACACCAAAGAGAAATAAAATCACCACCAAACTTCTGAGCAAACAAGTAAATAATTACAAAAATAAGGTCTCTAGGCATTCCATGGTAATCAATTCTACCCTTTTTACTGTTTTAATATCTCAACTTTACTAACATCATCCTGTTACAAATTCACAGGCTAATCTGCCAATATATTTCTGACTCTGTCAAAACCAACTGCAAAATTCCACACACAGCTGAGCAAGGCCAGGATATCATTCCCTTCCATGAGACATTGCAGCAATAGGAAAAGGTGTGTTTCAGATCTTTAGGGTTTTACATTTGCTAATACACGATAATGAACACACAGAGTATCAAACTAAAGCAAACACATCTGTGACTATAACTACAAATCAAATTCAAAACTGCTAATAATTCCTCTGCTTATTTTTCAGTTCTGTCAGGCTGGAAAATACCCATTTGATTGTATACAAATTTTATATGTATATTTATATATAAATACATAAATATTCACCTTATTTATAATAAAACCAGGTATTAATAAAAAACTCTACATCTTGTCTCCTAAAAACAATATGCTTAAAATAATAATGAGCCAGCTGGGAACACTAATGATCAGATAATACCTGAAGGGACTGTTTCATGTTCTCTACAATTATTAATTTGATTAATGTCAATTACGATGGGTAGTGCAAAATATGTTTGGTCATATCAACACTTCAGATATTTAGTCACCCGCACACATATCTCTTGATATTTAAAGATTTCCGAAAACCACATTAATTTGCCACATTTCATCCAGTTCTATAAATAATTTTGGTTTACTGTGAAATAATTAACACTAAATGGCAAAGCCTTTATAACTGTCTCATCCGTTAGCTCCTGCCAGCTGGGAGAGGGGCAGAAGGTGTGTACTGCTGTTAATTCGGAAGGGAACATGTGACACAACCTGACATGTCAAAGTGTGAAGAGATTTTTGCCACTTTGGTAAAAAAAAGTGCAGTGACTGGAGGAAAAAAAATAATGAAGAGGACTTGGGGGTTGTTTTATTTCCACTTCATTATATGCATAAGGGAATCAGAGCTATAGCCATTTTTAAATGCCTGTAAGAGTTTCCCCCTCCACCTCCCTCTTCCCTTGCTGTTCAGAGCTGTTGAGTAACAGACATTTCAGAGCGTGCATGAGGGAAGTAAACAAATGCATTGGTACTGTAGTTGCAGGGCAAGGAAACATTGATGTCACTGCTGTTATAATCACATTAGTAGTGTGTGTTAACAGTAATGTCATGTTTGATCAACTAGTCAGGTCAAAAGCCCTTCAAAATACAGTCTGAACAGAAGCACAAACCAAAATGGCAAGAGAATCGCCTTCCGAACAGTTTCCTCTGCATACAGACCCCTGTTGCAAAAGTGAGCTTTCAGTCACCAACACTCAATGTCAAATCACCCCGAAACACACGATTGCACTTTACAGTTGGCTGGGTCCCTGTTCCCCCGCTTGAAACCTGAATTTGATTTTTCTCCTCTTCCCCACTGCGTACACGCACTCACACCCTGAGGCACCCGAATACATCCCGCCAGGGATAACGCACACAGCTGGAGTTTGCTCCTATTCCTGACAGGTCGCCTGTCAAGGACAGAAACAGTTACAGCCCAACTGTTGGGACCATTTTTGTTTCAGCAGGTCTTTTCCACTTTAAACTCAATGTGTTGCTGTCTCTCCGCTTCAGCACAGGGTGTTCAATGCAACCAAACAGTAAGAGCAGTAATCCCCAACAACAAATTCTCTCAGGTGGGAAAACGGCTGGGCAGGATATATCCCCTCTTGTGTCCCAACATGCCAGCACGTACATGTTCGTCAATTGTCTACTTTTTATCAACATTTTCTGAAATTGCCCAGCTTGAGCATGTGGTAAACCGTTGAGTGTTAACCCTTTTAGAGAGAGTAGCACGTAGGAAATGCAGTGTCAGTGAAACCAGACACGGTGCGCTACCATCCAGAACTTCCCATGCACATTTTTCTGTCATCTCCCCGACTTCCTTCCATCAGCCTGACCCTAGAAAGGAGAAACTCATCCTGCTTCACATCCCCTCCCTCAAGTCTGCCTGCTGGCACTAGCCGGATACCTGACATCTTCCCTTCATTTTCTGTAACTTCCCGATTTGCTCCTGGACTGATGAAGCATTGACTTTCCCCCATCCCCTGGGCTCACCTTTTAGGTCTGCCTGGCGGCGCAGCCACCGCCTGCATACCAATGTGGGGCCGCAAAGGCAGCGCGGCGGCCGCCCTCCGGCACCCGCACCCGCGCCCGGCCGCTCCCGCGGGCGCGCTGCCTTCTGCGCCTTGTCACCTCGAAAAATTTAAAGCGTGGGGACACGGGGACGGGGGAGGCACAATTTATCCCGGCCAGCAGGACGGGTCCTGCTTGTCCCCAAGGGACACGCATGCCTGCGTGCAGCAGGCGCTCAGGCACGCACATCCACGGGTGTGTGTGTGTACGCGGCGTGTGGATGTGGATGTGCCACATCCATGTGCGTGCGTGTGCGAGTGTGTGTGTGTTTGTGTGTGTGTTTGCGAGGGGAGGGAAGCGGAGCGGGAAAGGAGCGGAGCGGGAGGGAGGAAGGCAGACTCGCCGCACCCGCGCATCCCCCGCGCCGCGGAGAGCGGAGACTCACCGGGTCACCCTGGTCTCTGAAGGTCAAGCTCAGGTTGGTTTATTGATCGCAGTTGTTCTCCAGGCTCTTTCGGCTCGGTCCTTCGCTAGCTTTTTTTTCCTTCTTCTTTCTTTTTTTTCCTCTTTTCTTTCCTTCCCCTGCTCGGCCGCGGTGGCGGCGGCTGCCGCCCGGAGGGGCTCCCGCTGCCGCTCCCGGCCCCGCGGGGTGAATCCCGGCTCCTAAGCCCTGGCCCCGCGGCGCCGCTCAGATCCCATGGTCGCAATCCACATCGCGGCAGATGTACCACAGAATCACGTAGAGGATCAGCAGGATGGCGAAGATGAACAAAGCCACCAGGATAGCCTTGGTCACCGGAGAGATGAGGGACTGCATGTCACCCGCGGACCGCCGCCGAGGACAGACGACTCGAGAACTACACGGGGGCAGCGAGCGCGGACGGATCCCGCGGCCCCGCCGCCGCCCCCGCCGCCGCCGCCAGCGACCCGGCGGGCAGCGGCGGCTGGCGCCGAGCCGGTGGCGGAGAGCCGGGGGCTGCCTCGCTCAGCGCCCCCGCTGCGGCGCTCGGGCGGGCGCGGCGGCTCCCGGGCGGGCGGGACGGGGCGGCGCGCACGGACACCTCGGCGCGGCGGGGCGCCCGGCCATGGGCACCGCGGCCCCGCCGCGGCTCAAGCCCGCCCTGCGGCGGCGGCGGAGTGCGGCCGGGCGCCGGCAAACTTAGGCGCGGGGGCGGCCCATGGGGGACAGGTGTCAAGCGCCCGGTTGCCCTGCAGGTCTCCGACGAAAGCCATCCACGGGGGAGGGAAAGTTGCGGGCGGGACGCGGCGGGCGCCGCCGCCCCCGGCCCCAGAGGGAGCGTGCGGGGGCACCGGGAGCCGCGGGCAGCGCGGGCAGCGCGGGCAGCCCGGCCGCGGCAGCCCGAGACCGCGCCGGCCGGCGTGTCCCGCCCAGCCGAGGTGTTCCCTCCCCTGCCAGCCCTCGCCCCCTCCTCCCTCCTCCTCCTTCTCCTCCTCCACTGCCTCCTGCGGTCCCCCCGCCTCCCGCCGCCGCCGCGTCGCGGGGAGCCCCTCCGGCCGGGTCCGTGCTGTGGTTCTGACTGTAGCGGGGTGCGAGGGAACGGGATTTTCTTTCCCTGTTCCCCGCGTCCGCCTGCATTTGGCATCTTCATCACCCACATTCCCCATCTGAGACCGACCTGGAGCGGGAGCCGGCGGCGGGGAGGACGGCTGAGGCTTGTCTCCGTTTTCTAAGCAGAAAGGTCACCCCTCCCCACCTCCGAAAAAAATAAAGGGTTTTTTTTTAATTCAGGCAGGTCGGCATGGGTCACAGCCTGCCAAGCTTCCCTCAGCGGCTCTGTGGCCTTTGGCATATGTACCAAAGGTGCACCAGGACAGATAGCACGAAAATAGGACAGGAAGATGGAAATTGGATGAAAGAGGATCGCTTGTATATTCACCCCCAGCAGCAGGTCTGGTTTAGCTTTCAACTCACCCCCGAATTCTGCAGCGCCAGAAGTGCCCATGTAGTGGCACATCACGTGCACACCAACCTTGGCACTCAGCACCTGAAGTGTGTCCAGACATCCGCCTGCCTGCCCCGCACAGCTGATCAGGACCAGGCTTCCAGGCGAGGAGCCAGGTGCCCCAAGACCAGCCCTGCGCTGCGAGGCGACCAGAGATGCAGGAACCCTTCCCTCAGGTCACCCGAGCAGGTGGCTGGTGAGGGCACCCTTGGTGGGACACAGGCTGCTCATGTGAGTGAGATGCTTCTGGTACAATGCAAGGAGTTGCCACCTTTGATCTCTAGTGGGGACAGACCAGGCGCATCTTCACAGAAGGTTCTTGCTGGATTTCAGTTCTGAGTGCAGTTGTATCGAAAATACAGAAATACAGAAGAACATCATTGAACCATGTAAGTAAGAAAGGGCTGAAAGAAACCGTCATCCCCCAAGAAGGACAAGAGCAACTTTATCAAGAGGGAGAAAGAAAGACTTAAACTTCAATATATAAAAAGTGGATAAATTCAAGAAGAAGGAGGTAAGGTACTGCTATATAGGTATTCCAGACACAAATACTCTAGAGGAAAAACTGTTATTAATGCCGAGCATGGGGATTTTAGATGGAATGGGAAGAAAAATATTAGGAAAGAGAAATATTAGGTATTTAAACAAGAAGGCCTCCAATACAGTGGAATGTCTGAAGGGTATGAGATAATATCTCAAGAGAACGTGTTGCAGGACACATTACACAGCTTTTTGAAAAAGCTGAGCTTTTTTGTGCAGAAGGGATGGTTAGCTCTTTAGAGATACCCACCACGCCACCTCTGTCTCTAATGCTTTAGTTCCTTATCTCTAGTATGCAGATGGCCATTTTTCCCACCTTTTTCCTTTGGTATGACCACCTTGCCCTACAAAATTTTCACTGAACCTTTTTTGTCTTTTGAAATTATTACATCTTGTTTAGAGCTGTCTTGCCACCGGGGTGCCAGTATCAAGTTCATACACTACAGCTTGGACTCCAAACAGCAACTCTGCTCATTAGTTTATCATTTCCAATTCAAAGCAGTGCTAGATTCTGGAGGCAGATGGCTGGGTAGTCATGTCCTATTCTTCAAGACAAATATTTTCTAATCCACTTGCTGGACATTAGTATTTCCTTTAGAGGAAGGTGTCATTCCATGTAGAGTAGTTGTTTAGCTGATTCTCACACTCAATGGTTTGTGCCTTTCCATCAGCTTTCCTTGGTTTGGCAGCTCTTGATAAAGTGGTACCAAACCTGGCAGTGCCAGACACAGCAGTAGGAATGGCAAAGCATGGCTGATAACCTCCGTACTTGTCAGCAGGAGAAGTAAAATAATGCACCATCATTTCTGAAACCAAAATGTGATTGTGTAATGTGCAATCTGTTCTGAACCAGTTTTGGAATCCGTTTGTTTAATTTGCATGTGCTTATGCACGAGGGCATTCCTGAGTAATTAAAAATATATAGTCTCTCTGAGTTTGATGTTCTGTCACTGGTGGAGCCTGAGCCAACACAAAAATCACAAGTTAAGCAACAGATATATTGCCAAAGATGTCCTTAGTTAAGAAAGCTGATTTAAACAAGGAAGTAAACATAAAAACCATCTTAGTTTTCAGATGTCTTATTAGTAAGCAGCAGGGAAGAAGGAAATCAATCTTTTCCAAGTGAAGAGAGATAACAGTGACAGAAAAATCATTTTAATTCCCACCTAGTAAGATGATAATAAATTAAACAGGAATACTAATACATGTAGCTTTTAGTTTTCTCTTTCTTGATTCCCTTTGAAAATGTGCTGCATCAAATGTACAATTGCAAGGAAGAACATGCAGAAAAGATAGGTAAAAAGACCCACAGTCACAATGTAATGCAAGCAGCTTTAAATGCCCAAATTAAATCCCATGCTAATGTAAGGGATGCTTGTGCGATGTAGATGGTGCAAGGAGACCAGGCTGTTTCTCATTAATTTCACCAGCAATCTTAGCCAAAATGAGGTTATCATTGCTCCCTGTCAGCTCTCCAGTCCTCCTGCCAGGATGCTTATTTAGACCTGCTAAAATCTATTGGAAAGACAGGGTCAGTTTTAAATTCCACAGGCTTGGACAGTCTATGTCACCCTGGGTTCAACTAATGGGAGCAAATTCTGAGGACTCATGGTGCGTCCCTGGCTTGGGGGGGGGATCTGAAGCCATCGGATGATCCCCCTGAGGGTCGGCTGTGGTGTTTGACAAGGAAACAGCCAGTGGTGTGTGCTCGTGGATAAGGCTTGTACAGACAGAGATTGCTGCTAAGAGAAGTGGTAACAGTTAGTATTCTTTCACCATAATCTCAAAATTGGCAGCAATGCAAAACCAATGTGTTTCCCTCTTTCAGTAAGGACAGCAGCAGACTGGGGAGGACACTGATCAGTTAAGGTTGAAATAAATCTCATTTTTTAATTCCTTTATCAATGAAAACATCTACACCAGCTGAATACTTTTTTTTTTTTTTAGGGCAGTTGTTTTTGCATATAATTTCAAGGGTGTCAGTGAAAGGCCTGTGATTTACACTGGTGTTAGCTAGAGACAATTCTGGTGCAGATAGTCAAACACAGACTGATCATTCCTAAATATGATCTCTCATCGCATGCCCTATTTCCAATGGCTTCACGGGAATTTTGAATCCAAGAAAAATATAAGAAGACACCTGGTTTATTAGAATGATTTTCAGACTTACAGAACAACTTCTTGGAGAATGAGTGTCAGAAACATGTCTAAGATGCCCAGTGAGTGCACATGGCCAACTGTTCCTGGAACGTGTCTGCATTGAAGAGGGTCACACATGTTAGAAACACTAAAGGCAATTGTGAGCAAACAAGTTTGAGTGCAGCAGTTTGTCTGAGATTGCTACGCAGTGCTCAGTGCATGTTAATTACCCCAGCGCTCAGTCTATTATCTTAAAAATGGATATATTCAGTACTTTTTTTGCTGTAGAAGTTTTATTACTCGCTGACTTCAACAAAAGCAGCATTTTACCTAATTAAAAGAAAGTATAGATAATTAGTGAAAAATTGAGTCTAATCGACTCAAGTGAGCAGAAACAACAGAAAACACATGTTTAAAGGGACTGATGTTGCTTATCAGAGCCTTCCAACTCTATAGCATCTTTCAAATAATTTCCAAGCCAAAAGTGATGGAACGACTGCCTGGCAGCTACCTCTGTAGCTTTAGTGATTTTTCTGAGTGGATGCATGTCTATATCATAAAAACACTGATAGAAGTGGCGGTAATTAGATTGGACAAATCCATAGATTACATGTCAGGCTTCAAGTACCGCTTTTTTGGCCAAAATGCACTGTTGCCGAGACAGTGTCTGTTCTGTGAATTAGAAGAGAATTATCAGCCATCTCACATTTCATGATGATGGACACAACATAAAAGCCTGGGTAGATAGGAACACGCAGCATGAAGAGCAATCAAACAAACAGAACATATCTGCCTCTCAAAAGAGTGAGCCAGAAAACAAGATCTGAGTTATCAGATATGCTAATTAATGGACCTCCCTTTGGTCAGCTATTTGGATGAACCAAAGTAATGAGAAAAATCATAGGAGTTCATAATCCACATGCAATATTCCGAAGATGCAGTTTAATGTAACGGGGTGTAAGAGTTTACATTTTGGAGAAATTCACAAGAAGAGGTATAAAATAATGGTCATTTATGGGGCTAAGAAAAAGCTCCTATTGGCCACAGCAACAAACAGATTAACTGAGTTTTAGGCACAATGCAGCTTTGAAAAAAAAATGTTCTTTATAGAATACTTGAGAGTAGAAATGCAGGATGGAGACAGGAGTTACATATTGTCAAGCTGCATCACATCAGTAATACCCTCCTGGGGTACTGGAGTTCCACTTATCAGGTTAGAGATTTTGGGAAAAGAAAGGCAAGAAAAAGTAACGAAAATTACTCAAGGCTGTAAGAATTGAATCTTTATCAAATCAAAGCTTCAAACTGGGGCAGAAAATCAGGTAGGTCTACTTTCCCAGACTCTCTTGAAGCTACAGATAGAAACCCTCCTATGTTTTCAGGGGAGGTAACAGCAGAGGATGGACAGATCTGTTTGTCTTTGGGTTTACTTAGAGGCCCTCTGGGCCTCTCTCAGGGCATCTGGCTTATGGCACAGGCAATAACATTTGAGGTAGTCTTTGTGCTATTGCCTCACACACTGCTGGGCCTGTCCTTGTGCTGCTCCTGATCCAAACCTAACACCTCATCCAAGAAAAAGATGGAAGATGGTTTGTGTGATGATGCAGGAACTGGCATTTCCTGGCCATAGGGACCATATTCCCTGTATTCCCCAGGTCAAATTTTATCCTGTACCTATCTGAGACTATGTTTGATGCCAGCTGGATTTATTCTTGATATCATTATCTGCTAGAGTGACTTGGGGTTTCTAAGATGTCACGAGAGCAAGTTATATGTCCCTTTGGTTTTACAGTGGGGTTGATACTTGAGAAAGCTCAGTTGTACTCCTGCCTGTGGCACTGCTTTGATATCCAGGTTTGGGTAATTTACTTAATTCTTCTGTCCAGGAGGAATTGAAAGTGGATGTGATTGTATTTCTGCCTTGTTGTGAATGTAACTGTGAAATACTGCACGATTTTGAATATCATACTTTTTCAGATATCAGCCAACTGTTACTGGGTCTTAGGGAGAGGAACATGTGATTTGACAGATACACTTCCCTGACGAGAAAAGTCAAGCTGTTTAGAGAATGAAAGTACTGCTAAAATTGCCACTTACACAAACTCCAGATGCAATTTTGTTCTTCAATTTTATCAACAGGAATTTGAAAACCTGGAATAAACTCAGCAAGCAAGTTAAGAAAAAGGAGGTTCAAAGGAGTTATCTCTGACCTAATTGTCTATGACACTTGTCTTTTGGATTTGATACATGTCTTTTGGATTTGAGGGCAGAAGAGAGCTTATGTTATGTTCATCCTAACAGACAGTTAATATGGCTCAGCTATGTTTCCATCAGATTTCAAAAGAGAAATCTGATGAAATTTTAATGCCTTCTCCTCCCTACCTAGTACAATGATGGAGAAGTCTGTAATATTTTTTTGTTGTTTTACTCTTTAAATATGCGACTCTTGTCTTTTTTTCAGTTAGTGCAGGGAGAGAAAAGTATAGAAATTAATTAGGCCCTTCCCTTCCCTTCCCTTCCCTTCCCTTCCCTTCCCTTCCCTTCCCTTCCCTTCCCTTCCCTTCCCTTCCCTTCCCTTCCCTTCCCTTCCTTCCCTTCCCTTCCCTTCCCTTCCCTTCCCTTCCCTTCCCTTCCCTTCCCTTCCCTTCCCTTCCCTTCCCTTCCCTTCCCTTCCCTTCCCTTCCCTTCCCTTCCCTTCCCTTCCCTTCCCTTCCCTTCCCTTCCCTTCCCTTCCCTTCCCTTCCCTTCCCTTCCCTTCCCTTCCCTTCCCTTCCCTTCCCTCACCCTGCGCACTCCTACATGAACATTTTACGAATATCTTAGTTATAGATTTTT